TCTCCCATAATTCACAGGGCTGAGGAATGAACTAACAAACTCTCGAGTAGCCCTGCAGGAACCACCTTTGATCTGGCTAAGCTTAGTAGTGGCTACATGCCATTCAGCCTAGTTTCATGTCTCAGGATGTACATTATTCCCAGTTCATTCCATATAAGTATTTTCATCCACAAATCCCAGCCTTTTCTACCAAAGACAAATACAAATAATTCTATGGATGATAGGTCACTGTCATTCATTCTTCCTAGACATGTTTTGAGTAGTAGAGACTACCTTAAAGATAAGCACTATCTGCATATTATCTAGAAACAGGTAATGTTTGTTTACTCTCAAATGCCAGTTTCTGTCACAGGTCAGCTGAAACCAGGTAAAGCTCTTTGTGCTGAGTCCCAGGAAAACAGGTAAAGTTTTATTTTCGTATTTGCAATAGTAGCCCTATAGTCCAGACTTGAAACACGGGGTTAATCACAGCCTACCACCAGGAATTATCCCTTTTGTTGTTCTATACTACTGGATCATCAGCAAGGCCAGCTCAGGGGTGTATTAAGAAACAGCTTTAAAGGGCCTCTAGCAGAATATTCTTTAAGCAACTTTGAGACCAGACCTGTGTTCTGCCCTGCAATCTTGGACAACAGGCAAACTTTCACAAGATGTGAGCACTATATCCTTCAAAGATAGGAGCCAGACACAGTAAAGTGTTTCTGCAGTATAAATTCATTTATTAAGTCAGGAACTATGAATAATATTCAAAGTATCTGAAGATATATATATATATATATATATATATAGATAGATATATATATAAACTGTAGCAATTAGTTAGCAAGTATTTAAAACATACTAGGAAGCTTCATGAATACTATGAATACATAATTGAGGAAAGAAATCTACTAAGGTTATCTAAGCAATAATAATCATAAGCCTGTCATTTAGAGCAGTGCCACACAAAATCCAATTCTACTAACAAAATTCATGCCTCGAGTGGTAAGAAATAAAAGACACAGCTATGCAAATTAACACCTACTCAAGAAACTGATAACCATACTCCTAAAAAGAATCTTCAGGGATGGAGTATTTCTACTGACCTAACTGAAGTTAATGATAGCCTGATTTTAACACAGATTTGATAGCTTTTACATTATGCCTTCTTAGCATGAATTTCTTCAATTTGCTGCACCTGTTTCACAATTCATCTCAGTTTTGAGATTTAGAGATGTATAGTCATTTTATATTCTTAACTACAATTTAAAATAATTTTGTGCAAGAAACCCAGCCATCCACACTTGTTCTATTAGCTATGTTCTGTTAGCCTTTTTCTTTCCTATGATCCAAGATATTGTTAAGGCCTTTTATTGTTACAAATCTGTTCTGTTCTTGTATAGCGTGACTCATGAAGCCTCTGACTCTTAGACCTCAAATAATTTGTAGACTGGAGAAAAAATAAGGGGAAAATGCAGCTATCAATCTGTTAGGGAATAGAATATCTCTTACTGTGAGTCTTAGGTGAAATTCTTACCTACTAGACAAGCCTTTATCCAAATAAAGGAAAAAACAGCTTTTGCTACAAGACTTAATGTCTATAATGGAAAAATTTGTATTGCCTGCAGGGACAGCCTGACAAGTCAATAAAGGCTTAGACTCTTTATAAAGATTGCACACAGCATGGTAGTACCCTGTTCTTTAGAAAAATATATTCAATTTTTTCAGTAGCACACCTTTCTTCATTCAAACATGTTCATAAGAAGTTTTGTACAAATCACTTCTGTACCTGCTGAATATCTGATGAACTAAAAATAGCTACTAGTAAAGCTGGAAAGAAAGAGGGGGGAAATAAACAACTGCAAATAGGTATTCAATTTTTTTCTAAACAGATGAAAAGGATTACACAAATAATAATCCTCCTTAAAAGTGCATTTACTCAAATATATGTATTACATATATTTGGGAAACACAGGGAATATTTCTATAGCGGTAGCAAAACTTGTTTCTCAGTTACTGGCATAGAGGCACCAAATTTCAAAATGAAACATTAAGAAAACTCACAGGTCAGAAATTATGAGTTAGAGGAAGGTCTGGGTTTCTTTTTTCCCCTGTCTTCTTTCTCTATTGTTAAAATATGAGGTTAGAATACTAGGTCTGCCTCCTTTTTGTGGCATCTACAGCAACATAAGACTGTCTAACTTTACTTTCCACGTGAGTACAATTGATATCCTTCATTTTAACTTTTGAAACTGCTATAGTTTTACTCATACAATACCAGAGTCACTGTACATATATTGTAACTATTAGAGTAGAAAAATCAAGAATAAAACAATTAGCTCCTGCTACTAGCCTTCAAAAATTTCTGGCAGTATTTTCTAGTCTTTTTATCCTAGAAATAAGAACAGACATTAATTTGCAAGTTTAATTCTAGCCACACAAGAGCTGTATCATGTACTTTCAAAAGACTTTCAAGTACTTACCTTCCAACTGAAAAAAGTGCTTTACATGTGTAACTTGGTTTCCTGCTCAAGTTTTCAAGGTCATAAAGTACAATAACACCATCCGATCCACCAGATAACATGCTGGAAGTGTTAATGAAGCACAGAAGTTAAAACATTCATAATCTCAATATGCTCAATACAATGAGCGTGTTCAACAAGACAACAAATCCATAGTACCAAAACATAGTGAATTACTTATGCACATTTGGACCAGCTGAAGTATATACTTACTATCTTCCCTCAACAGGCTCAATATCAAGGCTGTTGATACCGCTTCCGTGTATTCTTTCCACATCTCTATCTTTATTTAATTCCAAACTTAAAACCCTACGCACAAAAAAAGGAAAAAGAGAGATGAAAAACAAGAACAGAATCATGAAATGTTATTATGTAGCTCTGAACAGTTGAAACCTAGTTTCATGCTCCTTCAATGCATTTAAGTCATCCTTGCCATTATTTTTTAACAAAACTACATAATACAGAGATAGAAATAAGTCATGTGATATTGGCAGGAAAAAATACTTTGTTGTTTGGAAGGTAAGAGAGAAATAAATACATAAAACGGGCTCAAAGAAAAAGCAAAACTGCATTTTGGGTCAACGTATTAAATAAAACCTGAAATGGAATTTGAAAACACTAAGAAAAAGAAACATTAAGAAGCTTGTAATCACCACAAATACTGGCTACTTTGAAGCTTCATCATGTAGCACCCTTTCAGGCTTCATCCTGCTTGGAATTACGGACACCTAGTGGACAAAGTAACTTAGTTTACCAAGTTTACAGTATTTCCTTTAATGAAACAAAGTTTGTATGCTACATTTTCTGCAATACTAAAAAACTAAGCGACCTCCAATGATGAAGCTTCCACGATAAAATTTTCTAACCTGCAATTTTTAGCTTGTATTTTTGAATATGTTAACATTGAATAGTCAAAAAAGAGATATCCTACTTCATTAAATCCTACTGCCTGATAGTAGTATTCTGATCATGTTTCAAGTTTAGCCTTGAAACACGATCAGAGCCTCCTACAGCACCATTTAGTACAAAGCACAACACCACCACAACAAAAACATAACTAAGCAGGTAACTGAAAAGCTGCAAGGCAGAGTGCCCTGTCTCAGCTTCAGCTCAAGGGACAAAAAATCCTGATGTGAGAACCTTAGGCTGCTACAGGCAGGCCCCAACATCATGTCTGTAGACATGCTATAAAAGCAGCAAATCATTTAAGCTCTCTTAAACTATGTGAAATATAATTTTGCAAGAATTCGCCTAGAATAAGAATTCTGATATACACAAGATACCCAATTGAAAACCTTTGAGCTCCAGATGGAATTTCAGGAAGCAACAAATGCCCCCGTGGAAATGTGCTAAAATACACGACTTCAAAATGCAGCTATAAATAAAATCCACTTAAAACTACCAATTTCTTAAAAAAAAAATCAAAATTAAAAAGTTTAGGAAGGGAAATGCTATGAAGACAATTGTCCAAGTAAGGTTAAGTCTGTCCAGTGTGTCCACTGTTCTTAACACTGAATGCTACATGAGGGCTGAGGGCACAGAAGGGCATAACTGTGTTGTCAAAATGCACCCAGAAACAAGCTTCCAGAGCTACCAAAATTAATTTCAATTTTAATTTTTTGTTTTGTAATGACACACCGTCATAAAGTCATAAGTCACCAATATAGATCCAGAAGTTGTACGAATAACTGAACTAAGGTAGGCTTTATTTGATTTATCTTGAAATACATCTGCAAAGTACATTCTCTAGTATTGAACAAATATGACATTATAGTCTTTAGCAGGAACAGTAACAAATCCGTCTATGCTGCCACCCCTTCCCAATAAAACCGCTAAGAAACTCCCTGCATCTGATTCTTCTTCAACCTGCCAAAAGGCCGGGTTGGGAAAAGGAAGGACGAGCAGATGCGGGACAAACACCTGTTTGCTCCCAAGCGGAGCACAGCCGCACGCAGTCCGAGCCCCGGGAGGAGCCGCGCCGACAGCACGGGCGGTAACCGCGAGCTGCAGGGAGCTTCCTGCGCTGTGCGCACCGCGCCCGGGCTGAGCACACCGCACACAAACACCACGGCTGCCGACCCACGGCTGCCGACCCACGGCTGCCGCTCCCCCGCCCCGGCCCCGCGCACAGGACGGCTGCGGCAGCGCAGCCCCTCACCCCGCCCCGGGCCGCTACAGTGCGGGCCGGGCCGAGCCGAGCGAGGCCCCGCGGCAGGGCGGAGCCAGGAGCTGCCGCTCCGGGGCCTCCCGGCGCAGGGACACCCGCCCCGGCCCCGGTACCTCCGGGTGCGCTCAGCCCGGCGCAGCCGCGCGGGATCGTCCAGCCCGGCCTGGCGAGCAGCCATGAGCCCCAACATGGCGGGAGCGCCCGGCCTGATCTGCGCCGCGCCGCCATCTTGTGGCGGGCGCGGCCGGGATTGGCTCTGGGCGGGCCGGTCCGCGCCAATGGCCAGCGGCGTTGCTGGCGCGCCCGGCGCCCATAGGCGGGATTGGGCGGCGCAGGGCGGCGGGGTCGGTACGCGGTGCGCGCTCCGTGTCCCCGTGTGGCGGTGTCCGTGGGCGGCGGTGCCGCGGTCTTCCCGTCGGGATCTCGGCATGAGCCGCGCCTGGCAGGCTCTCCGCGCGCTGCGGTTGCGGTTCGTGGGGCCTGCTAAGGAGCTGGTGGGCACCGACCAGTTTGGCAACAAGTATTACCGGGTGCCCAAGTACGAGAACCGCGCAGGTACGCTCCGGGGCGGCGGCGGCAGGCGGGCCTGGGGGCAGCCGTGCGCTGCGCCCCTGCGTGGCCCCTCACCCGCCCGCCGCTGTCCGCACGGCGGCTAATGAAAAATTATAGCGGCTGAGCAGTGGCGGCAAGTGCTGCGCATCGGGAAACACGTGCGGGTTTCTGGTGCTCTAGAGCCAGAAAAACCGTAAAGCCGCTTACTGGAGGTTTCAGAGCGCAGCCTGGACTAGGTAGGTAGGCAGCAATTATTTGCACCTCTTGGTAATTCGGAGCCCTTCTGAATAAGCTTTTAAAAGCTAGAGTGTAGAGAAGGGCAGTGGAGCTGGGGCAGGGTCTGGAGCACAAGTCCTGTGAGGAGCAGCTGAGGGAGCTGGGGGTGTTTATCCTGGAGAAAAGGAGGCTCAGGGGTGACCTTATCGCTCTTGGACTGCCTGACAGAAAGGTGTAGCCAGGGTCGGCCTCTTGTCTTAGGCAACTTAGTGGCATGACTAGAGGAAACAGCCTCAAGTTGCACCAAGGGAGGTTCAGGCTGGACATCAGGATGAATTTCTCCACGGCTGTTAAACATTGGAACAGCCTGCACAGGGAAGAGGTGGTTTCATCCCTGAAACTGTTCACAGAACAACTGGACGTGGCACTTACTGCCATGGTTTAGTTGACATGGTGGTGTTTGGTCATAGGTTGTACTTGATGGTCTCAGATGTCTTTTCCAACCTAACTGGTTGTTTAATTCTGTGAAATTAATTCTTATGTGTACATTTATCCCACTTCTGTAGAAAATAATTTTCTAGGTTTCTGCCCGTGTTCCAGGAGCTTGGATGCCCTTATTCTGTATGTAAGTAGAGAATAAGAGAATTCATATGGGAAGTACTACTGCTGTGATTTTTGTGAAAATATTACTTGTGAAAATTCTGATTTTTTTGTGTATATTTGTCACTGTGCTTTAGCTTGATCTAAAAAAACCTTAATCACTCAGCATCAGGAGAATGACAGAACTCTGAAAGAAATAAGCATGCCTTCTGCTAACAAAGAAGAAATGGATGTGATTTTTTTTAAATGAAGTGTTCAAATGTTGCTTTTTCTGTAGTACAGCGTGTATCAAAGTATTGTGCTGCTACAAATTTCATTTCTGTGACCCCTCAATTTGGATCCCCATTTTCTTCCTCCATTTCCAGTTGACAGACTGTCATCCACTTTACTTACAAAATGGACTTCCTTGTGAATGTTCACTATTGATTTAAGATACAGGGCTCCCTGACCTTTGCTGTTTGGGGTTACTTGGGTGTAGGAGATCCTGTTTCCCCACAAAGTGATTACTCTTTTCCACTGTAATTTTTGCCTTTACTTCTGTGAATGGTTATCCTTGTGGTGCCAATATATGAGGTTTCATCAGTTCCAGAGCAGAAGAGTATGCCAACTCTCCCTCAGGCTTGTGGCTGAGGAGAAAAATAATTCTGACAGTAGTGAAGTGATTACAGATGGTTGTAACCACTGCCATGGGTGGTGGTAACTAACTGTCACTCAACATTTTTGAGCAGCATCCTGTGCTGTACAAACAGGGTCACGCTTGGCATTTGTGGGCTTTAATAACTTTATTAAGAAGTTTAAAGATATGGATTGCGAAGGTAACAGAGATTGAGGAAGGTCTATGGAAATTAAAACGTGCACCAAAAATTTCTGAGCGTTTGTTTTTAAAAGAAACTAAGAATTAAAAAGTGCTGAGAAAGCAATGCTCTCTTTTCAAGTGTTGGAGAGCATTATTTGTAGTACATTAGGAAAATCTGCTGCATAGCTCACCCATTGTCCTAACCACGTGGAGACCAGTGCAGGATTGGGACAACACTAGAAAGAAAACTAGTTGTAGATGAGACCAGTGAGATGTTGTGTGCATGTTTCACTGCAAGGTCACTGCAGTGTGGCTGCACCGTGCTTTGCTGCCTGCGCAATGGATTTAGGGAGGACTGAGTAGGTCTGTCACAGTGCTGGGCCTGATGTGCTTGATCCCTTTGTACCCTACTGGATTTTGATCCAATATATTGCAGAGTGTGCAAAACAGGCACACTTGCTTTCTCTCTCTTCACTTAGGGTAGGTCTATCAGGACAGGCTGGGCTTTGTTTCAGACCAACATCCCACCTTAAGCTGGAGGTGAGAGTAAATAGTGTAGGTAGTGTCTGTGCCACTTTCTGCTTCAATCAAAAACCATCTGACATCTTTCTTTTGGCCTGCCCTAGTGTTTGGCAGGGGTTTGGAACAGAAACAGTGGACCATGTGATGCAAAGAATTAGTGTTTTCTTTCTGTTTTTTGTGAATTGTGCTCTTTTTTTTCACTGAACTCAGGGTCCAAAACACTTTGGAACCTGAGGCCTTGTGTGTAATAGGGAACAGTAGAAGCAGGTCAATGTATGCAAGTGGTTGATGTTGAGTTTCCTTACACCTTCATCATCTCTAATTAAGAGAGTTCACTTCTTAAATTTAGTCTGTTTTCCAGGACTGAATATCTGCAATACATGGAGATGTTAAAGGGGTACAAAATTTTTAGGTATATACTGCAGGTATGGCTTTCACATTGCCACAGCACCTAATATGCTGTTATTTTTTGAAATGTTTTATAAATGAGGATTTCTTCTTAAAAAAAAGCAAATTATGCACTCAAAAACTACTTTGAAATCCATGTCAGCACGTGGTAAATAAAGGCAACACAGGATTAACAAAACTACACTTGCTTTGATTCAAGTCATTACAGTCTCAACAGTATCCTAAGGTCTTGGATGTCCAGGTCAAACTCAAGGTGTAATGACTTTACCCTGAGACCGCCTTTACCTCTGTCATCATAGGAAAGTTAATTTCCCTTCCTGATTTTGCCTGTCTCTGAGTAATTAGGTTCTTAGAAGAGCCAGCAACTTGAATAGGTTTTGTTGGGATGAAGGGAATAATTGTGGAGATCAAAGAAGTGTCAATGATGTGCAAGTGCTGATTTAACATGTGTTTTGCCTTCATTCAGAATGTTTTAATGAGTAATAGCAAAAATATATGAGTTTGCAAGAGTATTGTAATTCTCTGCGGTGAATATAGAAAGTATTGGCCTTCAGAAGTGGAGGGGAAGAAGGACATAAAATAATGCTCTTTCAGTCTGGTTGTCTTATTTCTGTTGAAAGAGAGAAAGTGGGTGTTCAAAGTCCCTGGACTGTAAGAATTAGAAGTCGTTAGATTCAGTAAAGAAAATAATGGCTAGAAATAGAAAAAGAGTTCAGAAAAATTTGGGTGCCAATATAGAGGGAAAAGATCCTAAAAATTCAAAATTAGAATAGTTAATTTCCTGAAAGCATGAAACTTGAGACTACATGTTTACTTCTTATAAAGAACTTCTATTTTCAAGTGGCGAAAAACCTATCATCTTGAAAGTCAGGTTACACATTCAACAGCATAGTAAGATGGGCTTATTTGAATGTAAAGATGGTTCTGTATTTAGTGACATTCTGTAAGTGGTGGGTTTTTACAAGATCATCCTAAAGTGGTGACAGTGATAAAATGCAACTATACCAAGCTTGTCATGAGGGGAACATCCAGCGTAACTCATTAACTCTGAGAAGACTCTTCAGTTGGTTGTGATAAAAGATGGGAATAGACGACTGAGTAGTAGTGATTGATGACTCATTTCAGTATCTTGGACAAATATTTCACTAAACAGACTAGACTTATCAATGTAAGTAGTTTATTTTTCTTATTATATAACATACTGAAAGGGCATTGCCATAACTTTGGTACTGGATTAGTTGTTCTTGCAGTAGAACATGGAGTGGTACTTACAATGTTCATATATTTTTAATTGAAAAACAAATTCCTCATACAGTTTATGTGTTTATTACAACCAAATATGTCTTGCTGGAAATAGCTGATTCCATTTTCTATTGAAAATAATTTATAAAGACTCTTAATAACCATTTTAGTTTTAAACACAGGGGCCCTAAATGCTCAAGATCTGGTATATAATTTTTTTGTCAAAAGGCTGATTAATGAGCAGGTTATGTTTACACGTTTTCAATATCTTCATTTACCTTCTTATGTATTGTAATGATTAAGAATTAAAATGAGCACTGTAAAGTACCACCATATGCAAATTTATATAAGAACAGTAGGTTATGAGCAAGAAGTCAGTTTATTTCAAAGATGATGTGGGAATGTTAAAAGCATGGCTTAAGTTTTAAAGTTCTCTTTATGGGAGCAGCAGATTCAGCTTTGATTTGATTTGAACTGTCAGTTTACCAGGAATTGCTGGAAAAAGCAGGAAGCATTCTGTTTTACATAGGTTTTTATATGTTGCACAAGCTCTGCATTAGGGGCCATATGTGGCCTAAGCTTCTGATGGTATGAGCTAAAGTTTCTCAGTACTCTTATTAAATACCTTTGAGAAATACACGTGGCATTACCAAGTTTGAGTGGTAAATTTTGTTGCTAACAATTGACTTCAAGCACTGGCTTCTGTGGGAAACATTTTCTTCACGTGAAAAGCCTGCTCACATCTGCATAAGCCTGTATCTTGTGCAGTAAATTCTCAACAAACCAAAAATGTATAAATAAATAAGAATCTTTATAAGGAAAAGTACTAAGTATTCAGTTGCATTATATCTGTATAAATTGTCCTGTATCTGATTGAGTTCAGTCTTCAGTAGAAGTATGTACACTTTTTAGTGAAAGTTAGAAAGGCTTAAGGTTCTGTTGAGATTAAAGGAATCCTCCATTATAGTGTTAGTTCCTCCTTGTTTCCTGTTTTAAGTAGTGGCCTGTCACCTTCCCGTGCATCAGAAGTTTAGATAATTTCTACTTTCTTTCAAAATCTTTTATAAAACACAGCTTTTTATTGAAGGCTAGACTGAAACTTTCCTGTAATGCTTTATGATGTATGGCAGAGAGTGGAAAAAGTAACAAATATCCAAAGCATAGAGTCAGAGATAAAAGCTATGGTTGTCTTCTGAGTCTGAATGTTAGCTTCTTCACT